GTATGGCTCCCAGGATCAGTTCCCAGAGCTGTGGGCAGCAACCCTTGTTTTTCCACACAAAATGTCCGGGTATTTCTTTTCAACTGGGTTGAGATTAGGAGTGAGTGGCTGAAGCCCTTGCTGGAGCCAGGATTGCCGTCTTGGAATCTGTTCTTAGGAAATGGGATCAGGAGGGAAGCACGACGGAGAGTTCACTGCAGTTTGGCCTCCAGCTCAGAAGTGAAACTGAGGGGCAGGAACACAAAGTGCTTGGATAAGGAGACAGAGGAGTAAACTCTTTCTAGTAACATTATAAAAACATTTATTAAATTCTGCTCCTAGCGTTAAGTGGAATTTATCCTTTGGGCAGGGAGAGTGCAGAGGGGAGAGAGATGCAGTGGAAAATGCAACCAAAAAGTCTGCTGCAGTCAGACTCTGAAAGCTCTGGGGACTTGATCCTTCCTTAAACCAAAACAAACAAACCAAAAAAAAGTAATGTGAACCTGCTTAACTCTTTAGTCAACAGGGTTGTTTTAAAAAGTAAAGAAGAGATAAGGATAGAGCAGAGCAGGGTTAACTTTCACAACTCTTTTATTGCAGTCATGTTATGTGAAAGACCCAAAAGCTCTTGCTTTGTGGGAAGAAGCTCCCAGCAGACCTTCACGAGCAAAGGAACTGGCTGGGGAGCCTGTGAAGCTCTCCAAGCATGAACTCTGCAGTTGGGTTGGTTGCCAAGCCGTGGGAGGGCAGAGCCTTTCATCCACGTGCAGAGAGGATGGCACCACTGGTCAGGTCGATGTCCTGAGAGCTCTGAGCTTGCTCATGGGTTCATTGCAGGGGACAGGAGGTTATGCTGGCACCTCTGCCTTGTGTGCGTCTCTTGTCCCTTCTGATAATTTCTGTAGAGACTGGTGAAGAGTTAAAGGTGAAAAATTAAGCCAGTTATATCAACAGCAATAAAATGTTGGGGCTATTCAGAGATAAATACAATGAGCTCCTAGCATTAGTCGAGTGCTTGCTTCAGGCTGGTCGTTTCTGCTCGCTGCCGTGGGGCAGGAGCGCTTTCTGGCTCCGCCAGCATTCGGCTGCTTGCCTGCCTTCCACACGAGATGGGAGCAGAGCCATTTTTTTCCTGGCTCTCTGGTGTTTCTCCTTTCAGTTGTGCTGCTGAACTCCAGGGTTACGGAGTTTTGCAGGAGCAGCCTGATGAGGAGGCTGGCTCGTTTGCAGGCACCACAGGCTGTCTTTTGCTGGAATGTGTTACCAAGAGAAGGCATGTGCTCTCCAGGAGCAGTGTTTAACAGTCTATGCTCAGACCCAAGAGCAAGCAGAGTTTTATTTGCTCTCCTCCAACTAAGGCAGGGAAATGAGAGCTGCTGTAATATCCAGAGTGTTGGTCTTGTTTTATCTCCAGTAGCACCAGATGCTTCATAGGAAGATGTGGAGGGTGAATTACTTGTTTTCTGCTATGAAGATGAACTAAAAGATTATTTCTAAATCTTTTAGACCTTTTCTTTGTAGAGGTCTCTTGATACATTCTTTCAGATCAGATCTCTATACTTTGCTGTTGGCTATGGGCAGGAGGGAGACATTCCCAGCATGATGCTATTGATAATCAATATATCGTGTTTCTGCCTTGTTTCTTCCATTCTCAACCCCCAGTGGTTCCAACAGCCTGCTGTGTTTTATCCCACACCCTTTACTTCTGCCATGGCCAGGAGATATGGAAATACTGAAGCACATGCCAATGTCAGACCAGAATTCAGGGAGCTCAAACCAGATATCGCTGTGAATTTTGTTTCCTTAATGTATTTGAAGAAACTATGTGAGCAAGGGCTTTGAGAGGAGTTAGTGACTCTGGGTTATGAGCATGAGATATCTTGGGCCCTGATTTCAAAGCTGCTGTTGCCTTCATTTAAGGTGTGAACTCTTGGAGCCTTTGAAAGCAGGCTGTGCATATTTTCACGCTGTGAGGGGAACCAGCAGTGTTTTCACAGTGTTTTGGAGTGCAGGGCTTTATAAAGACATCTTTTACTGCTCTTTCCTCCTCATGTTTTGGGGTAAGGAGGGAGCCATAGCTGTGAACACTGGAAGTGGAACTGTCATTTGGCTCTGGCTTTGCACCCTCTTGCATTTAGTGTGAAATTCTGATCCCTGTGAGGTCAGTGAAACCCTTTGGCTCTTTGGGCCTGGAAAAAAAGATAAAATAAGACCAGGAAGCCTCGTCTACCTCATGCTTTGCCAAGGTATGACAGTGTAAAATACCACCCTTTTCATTGTCAAGGGTAGAGGGTTGTGCAAGTACCTCTTGAAGACTGAGCACAGAGAGCAGGAGACTGCTTCAGTTGGACATACTGGATTTTGATTGAATTTTCTAATAATTTTTCCTCCTCTCTCTGGTCTCCTTTTGTTGTGGGCTCTTTGTTTTTTGACCCTGTGGTGGAGGAATGTGTTGGACTAAATTTTTTAGCAATTAGTTCCTGGGATGGTATCCTCAGAAGAACTGTACAGTCCATTAAATGCTTGTGTTTACTTGCTCCCACTCCAGCCCAGTGCCGAGCCTGCTTGGCTCCCAGTGACCCCTGAGATGGTGCTCAGGGAAAGTGCTCTTGTGCAACCGGGTCAGCAGCTGCTCTCCAGCCCTTCTCAGGCTGTGGAGTGAGCAGGGACTTATCTGTGCCTCAGCTGGCAGAGAAACGTGGAGCGTTTAGGGACCGACTCTGCTGAAACTGGAGGAGGTGACTTGGCTTTAGAGAGATGTGAGTGTGGTTGTCTAAATTAAATGGTTTTGCAAAGAGCCTGCGTGGGTGGCTGGAGCTGCTTGTCCGAGATCACCTTACGGCGATGGGATGGTGGCTTCTCTGGTTGCCATTTCACACAGTGAGTGGCCGTGGCAGTGGCTGCAGTGGCTTTTACTGCTTTCCCAGGAACGTTCATCCTTCTCTTGGGTTAGGGAGAGCTTTTTAAACATTTATTTTATATAACCTATATTTATAAAGGCTTTTCTTCTGCAGAGCTTTCTTTCATCTCTTAGTTTATCTATGTGCCTTGCCCAGGAGCTTTCAAACAATAAAAGGTAGTTCAGTTCAACACTTATCCACCCTCCTCCTTCTTGGGCAGCCCTTACAGCCTTGATGTGAGTTACCCCAAAGCAGAGGTAGGAGGGACTTCCAAACAGTCAGTGGGAGTTGCACAACCCTCCATCTGCGGAAAAGCAGTGGGGAAATAGGGTCAGGCTGTTTGCTCAGCTCTTAGAGCAAAATCTCTCTGCCCCTCAGAACGTAAAGTCTTGTTTTGTGCTTATATCAAGGCTGGACTCCACCCCGTAGAGGAAGTAACTGCGTGCTAGGTTTTGTTTCTCATGGGCAGGAAAACAAATCTTTTGTGATAACTTAGCACTGAGTCTTTGGAGAATATTGATCCTGTAACAAATGGGGGGGAAATCAAGTTCAGGCTGATCTGTTTTTCCTCTCCAGGGCAGAGATCCCCCCATTATACACTGAATCTGCAAACACAGGGCATTGCCTCTGAGCTCTGCACCCTACAAGTGTTGCTTCAGCCTGTCCTTCCTGGTCATCTAAGGCAGGAATGGAGGAGCTGAGAGCATGGAGGGAGGCAGGGAAGAAGTGAGGAGGGACAGAGGAAGTGAGGGGCCGCCCAGGGTGGGGGGCAGCTGTTGATGCAGGGAGAGGCTCAGAGCAGGAGGAGGAGAGAGAAACCAGAGCAAGAACTGCAGCGCCCGAGTGGTCAGGAGCTGCGGTTTGAGGGGAGGTCATTGCTTTCCCACTGATAATCAGAGCTCAGTGAAAGCCTTAACATTTTTTAGATGCTTTTCCCAACTGCCCTGCTCACATCTTCTTCTTGCTGCCTCTTCTGACTATGTTCCCTCTCCAGCTTGGCTTCCAACATGGAATCTCCATGCTCCTCTCAAGGACTCTGTTGTGCCATTGCTGCCCAGGTGCTGCTCTGCTGAAACACCTCCCTGCTCTCCTCCTCCCCTCCTGTCCTGTCTCTGCAGTGGGTGTAGTCTCCTCCACTGCTTGAGCCTGCTGGATTATTGCTCCTGTGCTTTTCTCCTCCCGTCACTGATAGCTCCTCATTTTATTGATGCTCCTTTCAGTACCATAAACTGCATTCAGACTCCTGGAGGTAGTAAATCACGTACAGCCTGCTCGCCGTTGTATACACACACCATTACTTTGCAAATGCCTCTCGGTTACAGCTCAGCTTCTTTGAATTCTTCTAAACTATTTTAATTGTGCAAGATGAACCTCTCTTCTGCAGACCTTTTTTTTGGAGACTGATGAAATGGTAGATCTATTATTTAACTTTCTCTTTCTTGGTCATCTGCTCTTTCTGTCAGAGAGAAGCCAGCTAAAAAAAAATTCCCTACAAACCATTTTTATTTTGTTCCTTCCAAGTTGTTTGCACTTTTTAATGTTGCAGAAAGACCAAACCCAGTTGCCACCTCTCAGCCAAGTCCATAATCTGTCCAGATATCTGGAAACATCTGGTAGTTTCCACCTCAGGTGAATGACAGTAGGACCAGGCTGTGCCTGGTTTGCAGGGCTGGAGCAGGCTCCTTCCCCATCAGTGAGTGGCATCCACGTTTCCCACAGAGGGATGGAGGATCTGCCTGTGCTGCCTGCTGTTGTGAGCAGGTCCAGGTGGGATCCACTGAAGCAGCTGCTGGTGGTTCCCACCAGCACAGGGTGCTCCTGGTACTGTCAGCAGGCTGATAATCCAGGCTGGGAGAATTGTACTGATGGGTTATATTCAAGAGTACACTCTTCTCCTTTTCTTTCCCAGTGCCCTGCACACAGGGTTGCCCTCTGCCTCCCACAAGGTGACCAACAGCTATGTCCGGGGTACCTCAGACATCCCCCTTCTCACCAAAACCATGGGCCAGTGCCTGGATGAGACCACTGAGCGGTTTCCTGACCGCGATGCTGTGGTCTTCTGCCGAGATGGGGTTCGGAAGACATTTGCTCAGTTCAAAAAGGAGGTGAGTGCCTGGTTCACCCCTCGGGGAGCTCAGGTGGGTGGATAACAGCGGCAGCAGGTGTGATGGAGAAATGGAAAATGGTTTCACTGCTCAGCTCAGCTCAGCATCTTCATCCTGGCCCTAAGCAGAGGGTAACAGCACCTCCCCAACAAACACCTGATGGGCATGTGCTGCCCTTGTCCTGCTCAGAGTCTCAAGATCAAAGGGAGAAGGCAGCGTATGTAAAATACTTGCTGAATATCCCAGAATGAGCTTTCAGACTTAAAAATTATCACCCCCATCTGCTGTGTTGCAGGCTGTCATGGTGTTTTTCTCTGGTGGAGTAGGCTCCAGCTCTTGTATTAATCACTCTACTCTGACTGTCAGAGGTCCGAAGTGTGTGGAGCTTTCTCGTCCAAGCACAAAGGCAACTGAGCAAAGTCAAGGGCTCGATCTCGACATCATATGCAAAGATGTGTGTGTGTGTATTGCAAACAAATATATGTTTGCATGTATTCTGAATGGAGGGGAAATATTTCAAGGTTAACTGCCTATGAAGTTTCTATTAAATGTATTATATGATCTTGGGTAGAAAAGGCTGTTTGGGTTTTTCTTAGATTTACTAGTGTTTTGGTTACATCCATTCAGATAAACAAAATCAACTGTGTTCACCCTCATTTTAAAAAGAAGGGTGCAATTCCAAACTAAATCAGAGAATAACTATTGCTCAAATTCATATCTGCTATAAGGTAATTTCCTAAATTCATTTGAGAACGTAACAAGAGAAGATGCTGCAGCAGCAGTAGGCTGACAGGCTCTGCAGCAGAGGTACTTTCTGTCCCATTTCAGTTGCAAAGATGCTGTTTTGGGTTTTTTTTTCCCCAGAAAGCAGTGCCTGGAGACAAATATCCCTCACTGCATCTTGTGTGTGATCCTCAGGCTCTTGTCTTGTATTTCACAGGTGGACCAAGCGGCAGCCGGGCTTCTGGCTCTTGGCCTGAAGAAAGGAGATCGCCTGGGGATGTGGGGTCCCAATAAATACGAGTGGGTTCTCATGCAGTTTGCAACTGCCCAGGCAGGAATCATCCTGGTAAGGAGCTGGCAGTGTCTGGGTATTCAACAGTCTGTTGGGAAAGGAACTGGAGACAAAGACACAATAGGAGACACTGAAGAGTAAAGTTTGTTGTCTCTTTTTTTTCCCCCCCATGCTCTTACCCAGTGTGTTGGCTAGAACTGAATCCACAATTTAAACAAGATCTGTGCAGCGCTCTGTGTCTTTGTCCTCCACACTGTAGGAAAGCAGACTGCAGAGGAAGGAGCAGCCAGAAATGGGCTGCTGTGAACTAGCTTGCAGCAGGCAATGATGGACGGAGATGTGCTTTTTTCTAGAGGACCATTTTGACGTAGCATACTGCTGTCCTAAACAGTTACTGGCTATTTAGATCTCTTCTAAATAAGGCCTGTATTGCTTCATGGCGCACGTGCTTGCTTAAAAATCCACTCCAAGCTGCATATCCCCAAAAGCCAATTTTAAGTTGATAGTATGACCTGGCACATTCCCCCAAATTCATCGTATTTAGACAGTGCACTGTGGTAAGGACTGTGCCCCCTTATACCTTCTGGTCTGTTTTCTTCATCGTGGTTCATCCCAGTGTCTGCTAAGACACAGTATCGGGGTGGATGAATATGGCTCAGTATGAACCTGATGGTGAACTCCACTCCAGTGGCCAATACTGTTTCTGTGGAGGGTTGGGCAGGAGAGAGCTGGTATTTTCATGGCTGTCCATCAAGAAACCTGACTTGCACTTCAATTTTTGAGTCTTCAGTTTAGTGGACTGAATGTCTGCCTGGGAGACAGGAGGTCTGGTTTCTGTTCCTGGAACTCTGTTTTGACTACATGACGGCACGTAAATCTCTTCTCTTTTTTTTTGATTTTTTTGGTTGTTGTGCAAACAGAGGATTCATCTAATTTTTCAGGTGAATGTGGAATGCCTGTGGGTGGTGAGCAATTAGTTCTGCATGTTGGAGGAGAGGCTTTGAGTGTGGCTTGTCCCTGGGAGAACTTTTCTGTTGAAATACATGTTAGGGCAGAGGGTTTTCAAGGCAAGGGTAACTCTGATCAACCTTGTTGTTTCTCCCTCCTCAGGTATCTGTGAATCCAGCCTACCAGGCCCTTGAGCTGGAGTTTGTCATCAGGAAGGTTTGTATGGCACTCGCTGATGATGCTAATTGATTTGTTGTGAGAACTCACGCAAGCAGCCATCTGTGAAAGGGGATAGTGGGGACACAGTACAGAGGAGTTTTTGCTGAAGACTTGGACATATGAGGCAGAGCTGGCTGGAGAGCAGGGCTGGTGGTGGCCGTGTAGAGGGAACACCACCACGCAGTGACCAAGGGGATGAAGCTGAGGTTAAGTGGTCACATTTGTTGCTCTTCCCTGTGGCTGCCACCCTGTCTGTTTGATGGAGACTTCTGCATCCTTTTCACGTCTCTCTATCTCTGCTAACCACCGTGTAGTACCAGCAGTGCACCAGTAACAACCATAACTGCCAGCAAGCGTTTACTAGGGAATGAGGAAAACAAGACTAAATATCTGACCCAGGGACTACCCGAGAAGCTGGCAGCCAGGAGAGCAGAGACTATGTAGTAACAGAGCATGGCTGCAATCTCTAGAGGCAAAAGCTGTCTGAAATGTGTTATGACTTTCCCACACTCATGCTCCAGCCTGCCCAGGATGGAGAACACCGCGCAGCTGCCCTCCCTGGCTTGGTGCCACCCTGCCTGCCTCCTGCTCGGGGGCAAAAAATTACTATCTGGGATTTTAACCTTGAAAGTAGAAAGGAGGAAGGCTCAGAATGGACCAGCCTACTTGGTAGCTTGATTTCTCCTTCCCAGATTTGCCCTAGGCCTTGCTGACCTTGGGTTTAATCTGATTGAAGTCCTAGGTATTGCCACTGCTCAATATTTTTCTGCTGCCTGATCCTTGCTGCCTTGACTACCCTCGTGTGCCTGCCTGGGTTTGAGTTTGCAATGTGCAGAGCACCGATCAGTTTAAGCTGTTCTGGCTGCATAGCTCCAGTAAGGAGGAATTTGGGTTATTAAACATTTTGATGGCTTAAAATTAATCCCAGGATTAAGGAGCTAACTTGCTCATCAGTCATTTGTTCAGCTTTAAATCAAAGGCTGATGTTAGAAGAGAGGGAACCACTGGGTTCCCAGCACTGTCCACGTTCTTGCTTTGCCTAGAAAGTGGATAATTTCTAGCAACAAAGGGAGACGCTTCTCTTGCATCAGTAACTCTCTAATTTGGTTGCTGGGCTGCAGTATGAATTCCTGTTTTATCCTTCATTTAACCCTCTTACGATAGTCTCACTGGTGTCACTCCTGTTTTCATGCGTTGGGACTGAACGCGGTGCTGCAGTGAAGGACATCTTTTCCAGCGAGGATGTCCTCCTTGCTTCTCTCACCAGGTGGAAATGTGCATGTCAGTACTTTCCTTTTTCCCCAATGAGACTTGACTTTTGTTTTCCTTTCCATCTCTTTGTGTCAGAGCCTGCTCTGTTTTTTTCCTCCAGTGTAAATCTGGAGTGTCGATGGGGTGAGAGCAGCAACGTGCTACAGCTCCATGGAGGGTTACTCCTGTCTCATCCTCACCATTTGGCAGTGCCTGGCTTTTCCATGTACCTTTGGCACTGGGATCTCTGGTGTCCCACACCCCACTATTTGTTTGTATTTGTTTATTTGCACAACAAACCCCTGAAGGCTTTAGGGCTTTGCTTGTTGGATCCTGTCAGCCTGTACAGTCCCATCCTTTCCATCACGTTCCCTCCCTTTGGTATGTACAGAAAAACATGCTGAATAATCCTTCCTCGGATTCCTATTGTATTTCCAGGGCTCTGTAAAAGCAAACTGGTGACAGCTTAAATATGACAAGTCCTTAGAAGACAAATCTGCCGCCATTCAGGTTGAGACCAAGTGGGAGACACCCAACTAGAGAACTTTATCTCACATAGCATCTGCCCTGCAAGCTCCTCTCCTCACATGGCATCTATTTTGCAAAGCTGGTTCAACCAGAACAGCAGTTTGGAGGAACTAATAGTAAAAAAAAAGTTACAAAGGCCCAAAACATCCCAGAACCATCTCAGTCCCCTGGGTTCTGGGTTGGCTGTTTCAGAAAATAGAGCAAATGTTTGTCTTCTCTTCTGACAAACCCCAGAGGGTACTTGCAAATAATTTATTGGCGTAGCCTTGGTCTCCTTATTTCACAAACCTTGGGGAAAATAATGAAAACAGCCCAGTAAATCATTTATGTAAATAGTTTATTTGAGAAGAATGCTTTTTTTTTTTTTTTTTGAAGATGAAAGTTTGCAAATCTGGGTCAAATTCAACAAATCTCCTCTGCTGAAAAAGAAATAGAAGTTCTTGGAGTACTTGAAGCACTTTGTTTCAGGATTTTGTAAATGTAAAGCTTGAATTAAAAAAAAAAAATTTCAAAATAAGTAAAACTTTGAAGAGGTGGACAAATCTTAGGAAATGCAACACTTAAAAAGGAACCACAACAAAACCTTGGCTTGACCTGAGAGGCACTCCTTAGGTTTCCTTGTTTTTACAAAGTTCCTCAAAAATCCTCATTTCAGATCAACTCAGATGACTTTTTTTTTTTTCTTTTTTTTTTTTTTCCTATTTTGGGACTGTTTTTGTTGTTAACATTGTGACTCCTAATCTGAAAAATCAGTTGTTTGCTTTGTGCTGGCAAAGAAGAGTATTGGTCCTGGGAGGAGAAGGAACCTCAGGCTGCAGCTCTGTTCTCTTGCCCAGCAAAAAGCCGCCGGCCCGTCCTGAACCGAACACCGGGGAGGAGCAAAGCACCGGCTGCACCCCTGGATCAGGGCTGGGGGTGCTGGGTGTGTGGTAACAGCACCCTGCCCTGCCCTTGAGGGGTTTTATGAGTTCACAGCTCTAAGGGCTCCATTTGCATTTGCCCTCAGTGAAGCTGCCTGCTGGAGGCATGTCCCCACCTGGGAGGGTAGCTGCTGCACCCTCATTGTGCAAAGACCTATGTCATGCTCTTCTGTGAATCTTTAAACCACAACTCACCATGGCTCTTACCAGGAATAGTTAAAAATCTCCGTGTTTAGTCTGAGGAGAGCTCATTGTACCATGTGCTTACGGAAACAAGGCATGGAGACAATCCCGGTGGGGTGTTAATGGCTAACGCTTGCTGTGTGGGGTCACAGGGCTGTGCATGTTCCTGTGTCAGTGGTGACCGCTCTTTATCGTGTCCTGAACATCAACCCAACGTGACTTCTCATGAGTTTCTGTCTCCCTTCACAGGTTGGCTGTAAGGCACTGGTGTTTCCCACTCAATTTAAAACACAGAAATACTATGATATTCTAAAGCAGTCATGTCCCGAGCTAGAAAAATCCAGTCCAGGGGGAATAAAGAGCAAAAGGTGAGTTAGGAACATCTGATGTCTTTGCACTGACCTCACAACTGTGTCCTGCCTTGTGCACAACATAGACTCTGGTGGAAGAAGGACCCACACAGGGTCTCATCTGAAGAGAACAAGTTAGGCTCTCCTGGAGGTTTGCCCTGAGCAGCATATGCCCTTCCGGCCAGTTTTCTCCTCGCTCTGTTGTTGTTGATGGTATTTTTCTTTCTCCCAGGTTACCTGACTTATCCATTGTCATCACAGTGGACTCCAAGCTGCCCGGTACCTTCCACATGGACGAAGTGATGCAGGCTGGGGACAGCAGCCATATGAAGCAGTTGAGAGCCGTGCAGCAGACCCTTTCCTGCAATGAGCCCATCAACATCCAGTTCACTTCCGTAGGTGCTTCTGCCTGCTCTGTGCCTTGTGGTTGGGTTCCTCACTGGGGACATGGGGAAAGAAAGATGTGTGCGATGTGTGCATCCCTTTTCCTTTGCCCTCTACCCTCTGAGACCAAGTCCTGGTTCCATCTTCTGCTGTAGTTCTGAGTGTTCTAGCATTTCCCCTTACTTCTTCCGTTCTTGCTGCTCAGCCCTTTGTCAAGGGCTGATGGAGATGAGAGGGTGTCATGTCAATTCTATCCAGCTGAAGTTGGACCATTTTTTTTCTTGGTGTGGTTTGGGAATCAGCTGCTGTTAAAGAGGGGAAACAAACAACAACAGCAAAAAAAGTCTCCCAGGTCTGGATGGAGAATGAAGTACAAGATCATCTTGGAGTCTGCCTCGAAATCTCTCCAGAGCACACGTAGCTTGTCCTTGGAAAAGGTGGCATCACTGCAGAATGCTCTGTGTCTTTCAGGGGACAACAGGAAGGCCCAAAGGAGCCACCCTGTCTCACAGGAATGTTGTGAATAATGCCAATCTGATAGGTCTGAGGCTGCGGATCGCAGAGCAGGTGGGTCTTGGCAGTAAGAGTTTGGGGTAATCTCCATGTGTGTGGAGAGCATTGGTGTTTGCTCAGCTGAAGGGCAGGATGTTTTGCTGCACATGATGTTGAGGGGTACTCATGCATAACATTTTTCACTTCAGTGGAGTTTTATTAGTGTTTCATTTTAGTTTCACATGAAGATTTTTTTTTGGGGGGGGGGGAAATATATACCTTTTTGTGGGGGGAAAAAACTAAGTGAACCACTTTTCATTTTGGTGAATATTAATTTCAAATATTTACAAGACTCTGGATGTTAGCTTTGAATTCTGTTGAATGAGAGTTTATTTTACATTACTTCATTTCATGTCATGTATACAGTCTTGTTACTCTTGTCAGGATCTGACCTTGCCATTTGTAGTTCCTTTTAAAAATTGTTAAAGGCAAATATTTTCTTTTGAAGTTCTGAAGTAGTTATTTCTAACACAAGAGCTTTGATCCAGAAAAAAAGATGGATTGTTTCAATCAGTCTTCAGAGCCTTTGGTGTTTTTAAAAAACATACATAATTAATAGCATGTGCCAAGTCCTGTATGTTTCATGCCTGTCGTAGCACGACTGCTCTTCTCTTCTGGCATATCATAAAATAATGTGTAAGCAATACCAGACCAAAAAGTCCAGCAAAGAGAAGACATTGCAGGATTACAGAATGAAATTTTGACATTGAGAACTTCCCAAACAGATTTTTATTAAAGGCAGGGAGCATCAGTTTCGTGTTCCCACCTAATGGGGACACAGATGAATGTCAGATTTCCAGCAAGTTTTGAATGAATTGGGGAAAACTCCTCTGTTCAGATCTTTGAGCTCCAGCAGAGAGATGGACCAGTCATGGACTAGAAGATCTCTCCTCACTGTTGTCTTTGGCTTGATCCCAGGACCATCGTGTTGCTGTCCCCGCACCCCTCTATCATTGCCTGGCGTCGGTGGGAGGCTGCATGGTGATGGCTCTGCACGGGTCCTCCTGCATCTTCTCGTCTCCGAGTTTCGAGGGGAAGGCTGCACTGGAGGCAGTGTCTCGAGAGAAGTGAGTGTTCGTGTCTTGCTACAGAGGAGCTCATTGCCTGGTGGCCGCGCTCGCTTCTCTCGCCAGCCAGGCTGTTGCTCCTGCTCCTCCTTCCCATGATGGGAGAAGCAGGTTTGCTGGTGCACATCCTTCCACAGACACTTCAGGAGCCTAAATCCTGTCTTTTCAGCTGCATTTGAGAGTTTGTCATGCTTCTCTTTTCCCAAAAATAAGGGTTTCTTCAGGTTACTGTAGGGCTTTGGCTGGAAAACATAGTGTTGTCTTGGTTTGCTATGGCTGGTGAGTTTTTACACCCGCCTTCCTCCTCCAAGTCCAGCTCTGCTGCTGAGACAGTTGCATCTCCAGGTTGTCCTTCACGTGTAGCTTGTAAAACAAAAGAACTATCATTGTGTCTGCATAATACACACACACACATATATATATAATATATATATTTTTATACATACAAATGTGTATGTGCACGAATGAAGAGCATGTCTGCTGTGCCTGCCTCTGTGCTGTGGTCCTGGATGGGATGGGGCAGGGTGCTGAGCTGCATCTGCCCCTGGTTCCAGCTCTGCAGCCTTGTCTTTTCTCTCCCCTTCCTGAAGATGCTCCCTTCTACACGGCACACCGACCATGTTTATAGACATGCTCTCCCAGCCCGACTTTGACTCCTACGACCTGTCATCTCTCCAGGGAGGTAAGTCTGACAGCTTAAATGGAAAAATACCAAGAAACTGGATGCTACTGGTTCCTTGCTGGGAGGCTGTGATTAAGTTTTGTGAACAAATTGCTCTTCTGGAGGGAAGAGTTTAGTTGCACGAGCCTTGTGTTTCACTGATAATTTGTTGCTATATTTCCTTTCCTTGGGGTTTCCTTCAAGAATTATTCATTTTTAGGACTCTTCTTTCTTCTTAGGGCAGTCTAGGGAAGGACTTTCTGTTTTACCTGTAAGGGAAGATACTGGGAATAGCCTGGTTTTGCTCAACTCTTGTCTCACCAGCCACCACCATGTGGCAGCAGATGCTTTGTGTGCTTTAGGCTGGTGCAGTCCCTAAAGCCAGAGCTAAGCTGTGATTTCTCTGACTTAAAGTTTCCTGCCTGTTTTTTAAAGTCATTCATCTAAATACTGGAGAGAGTGCAATAACATGTGCTGGAGCTTTCTCTCTTATCACAGTCAACCTCAGAAATAGCTGAGCTGAAACAGAGGGACCACCAGGCCTTTTGAGGCAGTAACAGCACAGAGAGAAGGTGGTGCTGGAGCATAAAGAAACATTTAAGCTGATTACCTAATCATCTCTGCTATGTGAAAAATGATCCTGTCTCATCTTCTTCCCCAGCAAAGCCTATGTGTCACCCTTTCTTTTGCTCCATCATCTTAGGATGGAGCAGGTGACAATGTGATCTGCCCTCTCCCAAAAGGACTACTCTGTGCAAGGCAGGAGGAAAGGTTGTTGGTTTTATGGTGGTGATGACCGATGGGAATGTTTGTCCTGCTAAAAATCTGTGTGTCTTTCTGCTCTGAATCTTTCCTTTTCAGGAACTGCAGCTTAGACTAGGTGTGTGCTATAGAGTTTATTTTCCTAACGAGTGAACTCTGCCAACCCTTAATTCATTCAGCAGCTTTTGCTGCAGCCTTTGCTTCTGGAATAACTAGGACCTGTACCCAGAAAAAGAGAACAGATTTTGACAGGAACCGGTGTATCCCAAAGGTCTTGCCAGCATTTAAATCTGGGAGTGCAGAACCTTCTGAGGGATTGTTCCTAGGAATAAATAGATGGTTTCCAAGATGGTCATCTTTTCCTCTTTCTTCCAGGAGTCATTGCAGGTTCTCCTGTTCCCCCTGAGATCATGAAGATGATTATCACCAAGATGCACATGTCAGAGATGGTGGTGAGTTGTGGTTTCTGTGACTACAGCTACAAGTGGTGTTTGTCATGGTGAGACACTGAGTTTGGGCATCTCTCCACTGCAGCAGTACCCAGCGGTGGTGGAGCTGCTGGGATCAGGCGTGATGGGACTGGGGGTGTGAGGCCAGGCAGAGGGGTGAAGGTGTAGAGGGGCTGGGAGGAAGAAGGGGGATTCTGGCTGGTTGCTGCTGGGGTGTCTGTGGAGGAAGCTTTGTAAGAAGAGAAGACATTGCCTTCAGTGTTGTAAACTGAGTTTCTGCTGGTGCATTTCAAAGCTTATAAACCCTTCTGTTGTACATGCTGCAAGGATGAATGATTATGGAAGAGGCGTTGCTGGTTTGTATCGGCGTGGGTGGGTGCATGCGTTCATCTCACTGCGGAGCTGTCGGATTTCTTTCATCATCCAGACTGCCTGCAGATATCAAACCTTGTTGCACGCTACGTGTTTGAGTCTGAACGTGGGAATGGCACCATCCACACGTACAGCAGCAGGCTCTGCATTGCCAGAAGGGCAGCACGTGTCGGAGCATGCATGCTGCTGCTCCATCACATATCCCCATGCAAGAGCATCAGCATGTCCTGCATGCGGAAGGGGACAGGCCACCAGCGAGGGGGTCAGTGGCACTCCAGGTGACACGTTTCATAGGCAGGTTTTGTTTTACTTTAAAGGACATAGCTTTGGTGCCACGCTGGTTGCAAACGCTGAGGAAGCAGACTGTTGTGATGGATTAACACGCAGCCCTGGGAGGCAGATTAAACGTGTTTTTGTTGGCAGACGTGGACTGCACCAGCACCAGGGTTTTACAGGGGATGACTGTGTGCTCTGCCACGGACCAGGGGAGTCCAGGGCATCTGTCCTGGAGCTGTCTCAGAGGCAGCCAGGGTTTTTTCCTGGTTATGATGCTCTTGATGCTGAGCTGAAAACACTAGGGACAGCCCAGACTCTGTCAGGTGACAGCTACCTATTTTTATAGTAGATTTGAGTTTGGCCTCACAAAATATTTTCAGACATTACTGCGAGTGCCCAGCGTTCATTGGGTGTCACATGTTCCTACTTTGTAGAGAGAGAAATAATAAAACCCTCCCAAGCAGTTGCTCTGCCCATAGGATAAAGAGGATTAAGTCTATATTTGTACCACTGGTCTCGTGTTACTTCTGATCCCCCAGCCCCTCAGACAGACACAGGGAGACTTGTTGAATTCATCTTTGCAGCAAGAGCTTTATACAGAAGATGTACATAAGAAAATATACAATTTGATTTCTATATAGGAGATAGAGGAGTTTTCACCCTCTTAAAGGTCATTTACACTCAGTTACAGAGGAATAAATATACATATATTTATATAACTCTTTAGGATTAAAAAACACAGTTAAGTTGCAACTGTGGTATTGTAATAGCCATGACAATAAACCACAGTCATCCTGGTGTCCTGCTAGATCCTCTGGAGTATGGGCAGGGAGAAGAGGAGGGGTGCCCGAGTCAGGCTGCACGGTGCACACCTTCTCCTCTCAGACATACATGCTTCATGGTAGACCCCACAGAGTGGGAGGGAATCCAGTCTTCAGATGGCTTCAGTTTTAGAGTTTCCCAGTACTGTTCCACTTAAAGGATTTCTGGCTGACCTAGAGAGATCGCTGCCTTTTGGCATGGAAGGGCAGCTCGGTCTCAGGGCCACCAGTTCTTGGGCATTGCTTCACCTATCCCCTCAGCCCTGGCCTGCAGGGATCCCCTCTGTGGGAAGGCAGAGGAGTCTCTTTGTGTGGGTTAGGACCAATTTTCCTAATCAAGCAACTGGGGGAAGGATGCTCCTACCTTCCCACTTGCTTCCACTCCACTGGAAGGGGAGAGACAGCGACCAACTGGTTGATTGGGGGTGTGGGTTATGTTTCCTCTGGGAAAGATGACTGTGTTTTACCGGCAGGATCTAGGTTAGCTTGTCTTAGTATGGTCATGCATAGTTTAGTTTTTTAAAATGCCTCTTTTAAAATATATAGATGTCGGAAAAGATTGGAAAGGTGGATTCCATCCTGCAATCAGCAGAGAAGCGGGGATTCGGAGGAGGCTGGAGATGTTTGGATATATCAGAAATGTTTCCTGACAGGTAGGAGAAGCTTAAGGAAGGACTCAGAAGTCAGTAGTTTTCTGATGGCTGAAGTGACCGGTCACCAGGACAGGCCATACCGGGGTCTGCTAGGGGGAAAAAGAGAGAAGTCCACATGTTCAAGAGGATTTTTCAAGCAGATCAGTAAACTTCTAGCATTTGTCTGTTTATTTTTATACTCAGTGAGTGAATAAAGCTCGTACTTGAAAGGTAAGAGTTGGGAGTCAAGGAGCTGTTACGAGTTCCCATAGTAGAAGAGATGGGTTAGTTCTGCCTCTGACCTCTCCTACCAACACTCTACGTGACTTTTGAGTGTCTTGCTCAAAGTGTTGTTGGTCAGCAAGCACTTCCTTCATAAAGGAAGGAACCCTAGAGTGAAATTTTCAGGGGTACTGAATTATTTTGGTGCCCTGGTTCTGAAAATCCAGGGCAGGTAGATTTTTAGAAACTGCCAAGCAGCCTTTCCTCTGAAATGACCCAAGTCACTGGTCATCCCTGAAATATGGACCCTCATAGCTGACATCTGAGAAAGCTGCCTGGCCTGCAAGAAGTGCATGCTAAAGTCAGAGGTACTTCATGTTCCTTAAAATCATGTTCACCACACGCAAGTGGGTTTGTGTGCCTGCATTTTGGCACTCACACCTGAAGGTACCGAGCTTTGTCTTCCGCAAGACTGGAATAAATAGTTTTCTATTTCATTAACACTTGTAAACTTGTTTGAGAGAGCTGGATGGAAAGTGCTGTAGAAAAAAGAGGTATTACTGTCATGGTTTTCTTACTCTCATCAGGGAGGAGTGAACTGGTATTGAGTTCAGGCAGGGAAAGAAGAAGGTTAAAAAGGGTCAGACATCTAAATAAAATACATTTAAGTATTGTGGTTTAGGAAACTGGAATTTTTCTGTTCTTAGAGCAGAACTTTACCCGCCCTATATGGAATGACTGGTATTTCCATCTCTAATCCTTAAAACCTCTGTCACTGCAAGAGAAATAACCGCTTTAGGAAGGCGCAGAACAGCTGGCATCATCCCTGACATTTTGGTCATAAATTTCCTTTCTCCATCCTGTTATGCACATCCTTAGTGAACTGGGGACCAAACAGCCAGAACTGGGCTTTGGGATTCTGCCTCGTCCTTTCTGTTATGAAAGGGCACGGTGACAACCCTTGTTCCTGCACTGCAGTGCAAGGTCACTGCACTTTACTTAACACATGAGCAAAGGTCCCTTTCCCAAGAGCTTACAAACTTGCAGACTCATCCAAAGTCTTTTGGAATCTGTACAAGCTCCAGACCTATTCCTAGGATGGAGAAAAGCAAAATGCTTGGGATGGAATGATGATAGTTGTGGCTTTCTTGCCACCCTGTGTGCTGAATTTAATACTCTTGGTAGTTTCCAGTTGTGGGAGGTGTTTGTGTGATAGGTTTTCACTGTTGGTGTTTGGATTGGTAGATGTCAGCAAGGTCATTGCTCAAGGAAAAATCGGCCCTGTCTCTGAGTCACCTTCTGGCCCAGAACACTTTATTCAAAGAATATTTGCTGTCTCTTACCTCCCTCTTCTGGAACATTAATTTGAAGGCACCAGCCCTTGTTTTTAAATACCTGAGTGTCTTGGATGGGAATTATAGTTGCTGAAAGGCAGCTGCTGGACTGAGAACTGCTCCTTATGGAAGACGTCTGTTTTCCCATGGGCTGGGCAGCCTGGGGCCACATTTCCCAGCTATGTCCTGCCCTGGATTTCAAACCAGACCTGGAGGACCTTTGCTAGGGCAAAAGGCTGAGCATCTCCGGTTAAAAAAGTAAAGCATGTGTGATCCCAGCTCAGGGTAAGAGTGGGATAAATCTCCCCATGTTTTGACTCTTAGTTACATGTTTCACCCTTACTTGCTGCCCCAGGCCTGTCTTTAGTCCCATGTTTGTTTTACAGGGTTGACTCCATCCCTGGTGCTCCAGGCAGATTCTCTGCTCTGGGAGCCCATGGAGCTCAGTATTGCCAGGAGGTGGAGCAGCTCTGAGCGGAGTCATCGACTGGGTGAATGAACGAGCTGTTTTGAGCCAAAGCTTAGTGTCACTGAAGTCAGAGATAGAAGTTCCCATACCTTTGATGGCATCAGGATTTGCTGTGGGTCAGACTAAAAACTACCGGTAGGAAGTGGCTCTGTGAACCATCTTACGTGTTTAATGACGGCTTCCCTTCTTGGACCTCTTGGTGGGGAGCTTGCAGGTGCGGAGGGCCGGGGTGTCTCTGATGGACTGTCCCCGGTACTGCGCAGGCGTGGAGCAGGTCTCCTCGGTGCGGGTGCGATTGCCCTTCAGCCACCTGAGACACGGGGAAGAAGACAACCAGAGTTGACAAGAGGTACAAACCATCATGGGCAACATTCATATCATGGATGGAGAGGGCAGGCTGGAGAGAGAGCTGCTGAGCATGCATGCAGCCTACTCTTGCCTGGCACAGCTTAGGGGACCTCTCTTGGTGGACCCCCAAGGAGACCCCAGGGAAGGCAGGGAGGGAAGGGACGCGCGGTGCCGTACTTGCGCAGATGTGCTAGCTGGCAGTTGCAGTGCCAGGCATTTCGGGAGAGTGTCAGTGTCTCCATTTTGTCGAAGGGGAAGTTGCGGGGCAGTTGGGTGAGCCGGTTGTTGTCCAGGTGAGCGGTCTTCAGCGTGGTCACACCAGCAAACGCATTGTCTGCAAACTAAAGCACAAAGGTTTCTGGTGAGCAACGCCGAGTTAGGGAAGGGGAGTTCGAAACCTGAGTGCCTCCATTCAAGACTTCAATGGTGTAAGTGTGGAAGGAGCAAGAGAAGGAGTGGTGGAGGGGGGTGGTCCTGGCTCACTCAGCTATGAACACCTAAGAGAGGCATCAGATTGGTGGGATCATGA